CTCTTACGACACCCACAGGATTAATAGGAGTGGGTACACTCCGTATTCTTAATCCGTCACAACACGGATAGAACTATAGGACTGGAGGAACGGGATTTATATTCCTCCAATACAAAGGGAGCACCAGGTTAGGTGATCATGACTGACATACGGCAACCTCTCAAGGGCTGATGTTGATAATGACTCTCATATATAAAAAAGGAACAAGATACAGCTGATTTTTCAGATTTTAGTTTCAGACAAATTAGAAAACCACTTATATGATTATGAATATTGGAAATTAAACTTCAGGGTTTAAAAAGTCGGTTAAAAAAGCTTATTGTCCAAATAAGACGTCAATAAACACTTAGCAGATTAACCAATAAAATATCAGTGATGAACATCACAAAAGATAAATCAGTCATCAGAAAAAAGGTTTTATATTATCATACACGGAACCCCAAGCGTAACCTTTTAATGTCACGCATTGATACTCTCTCAAAGCCTGCCACTTAGTCCCACGTCCTATTAAAGCCGTCACTAATCACCCCTGTACTATCACAATTAGATCACCACTCGACATCTGATAACGGTTTTTAAACGGAATGATATCAGCATACCCTAAGCACTCTTCGCTCAAGTGGTTTTGTTTTAACTATCACTTACCACTTTTATTGTTATTTAGATATACATAATATGTGATCCAATTACACAAAGAAGATTACTACGTACCTAGTTATTTGTTGGCAAAATGATACTTTTTTTACCGCCAGTCAATCGGCTTTGTGTTCTCAGGCTTATTAAATGACCACTTTTGATGTTTTTTATCAGCGGTTGCTATCGTAGGGACTTAACATGCTAGAATAATAGAGTGGTATTCATGTAATGGGCAAAGCATCGAACTACGATATTTAAATTTATACGATATGAAATACGATATTTAAATTTAATTCAATTCAGATCAAATCAAATCTTAAAACGCAGATGTATGTTTCACACATATATAATATTGTTTTACAACTTTCTTTTTACAAAATAATTTCGATTTGTCACTTCTGCAAGACGTTCCGCGACGGCTCGTTTTTTTTTAATTTGCATTGTTCACACCTGAACACAATTGTTTATGTCAATACATAATTCATCATCATCATCATCAACCCATAGCACATTCTTCACACATCCACATCTATCGCCTATCGGACATAAGCAATATGGGAGAGCACCACTGCACGCCACTTAGATCGATTTTAGGCATAATACATAATTACTTACATATACATTATTATTTTTCCAATTGTCAATTCAATCCTGTAAATTGGTAGTTTTTCCTATTTATACTCACCTAAATATTTATTTAAATTGTATGGTTTTTTAGTATTTAATCCACAGTAATATAATATTTGGAACTGGCTTTATACAGGTGTATATAAGCCTGCTCACTTTATCACCATCTTCCACTATTTTACCAATTTAATTTAAGGTTACAGGGTTACAAGGTTACAAAAGCAGGCTGGCTTGTTTTATAGCAGGCTGCCTTCCTGACGACCTTCGACGACGACTTCCTAGGGAATGTAATTAGACATTATCTACCAGTCAACCGTTGTGTAATGCAGAGAAAACAGAAAGGTGCATCTGTCCGTGTAGTGACGAGTTAAGAATACAGTGTGTCACCATCCCTATTCAACCCGTGGGTGTCGTACGGGAGCAAACTACTCAGAACAACAGCACTGCAGAGAGAAGGAAAACTTGAAACAGACCCTATACCAACCTGTCTGGCCAGCGTGGTATAGTAGGCCAAAACTACCTTTCTACAGTAAGGACTATGTCCAGTAGTAGACTACTAAAGGCTGTCGATGATGATGAGGTGCATTTAGGTTAAAATTACTTTTAGTTTTTAATTAATGAAATTTTATCATTACTTACTACTTACATAAGTATAATATTATCTATACACAAAATTATATAAACTTATTGTATGGAGTTTAACTGTGGGAGAATCATGATTCGGAATATGCAAGTCAGCGCGACCGGAGTGATACCAGGGTACGAAGAGTAGAAGGTATTAAACCTCAAACATTGATTGTAATTTCAAGAAAAGAGGTTACTCCTTCCTAAAAGCCCGGCAACGCGTTTGTGACTGAGCTGCAGAGGTTCATGGGCGGCGATGGTCACTTTCCATCAGGTGACCCGTCTGCTCGTCTGCCCCTGTAACATAAAAAAAAATGATTATATCGTATTGTGACCGAAAGTAGAATCGGTAGTCTGCTATTCTTAGTATTACTTTACTACTTTATACTAGTTCCCAGGCTACTGGTTTTTAATCGGTTCGAATTCGACATAACCACCACGGTGGTTTTTGAGAGGATTTCCGCAAAGGACAAAAATGGTTGACGTTCACACAACCACGATCTTTTTTTTCATTTTATATTTAGGTAAAGCAGAATCAAAATATATGGTCAATACCTCAAAAAATAGTACCTATGTACCTACCTTCTACATACCTACTGTCGATTGTAGAGAAGATCGTTGTAAAATAGAAAAACCAAAACTAGAATTCGTTTGATTACTACGAAATTTATTAAATAAATATTCTTTCTTCTTATTTTTTCTCATTCGTCAGCTTTTCATCAATAATTCAGATTTCATAATTATCCCTATTTCCCGCTTTCAGCAAAGATCAGTTTGCCCGCATCCAAAACCTCAATCAGGCTCAATCCTGCATACATAATCGTTCTAAGCAAAAGAGAACAATAATTGCCATCTATCCGAGCAACATTTTAAACAAGTTTTCAAATAGTTATTATTACGTAGTATAGATGGCGATCAAATTTTCAAAATAAATTTTTAAGTAATAATTAAATTTACATATATACACACACATAGTTTTTATATTATAAATATTCTGATACTCAGTTGCAGTTAATAATGCTTATAAAATATACAGTTTATACAAAAAATTCGTTCTTAAACGTTTCGACATACCTCAAATGTTGTGTTTTATATTTAAAGTTGCCAACATGAAAATTTTTCTTGCGGTTCGAGGAAAGAACAGTAATTACCAAGTTGTACCAAAGTAGAAGAAAACTCGAAAATGATTATTAATTTCTAGGTATACAAAGAATCCTACCTAATCAAGTTAAATTGTGTTACAGTTACACTACAAATCATTACCATTCCAGCTCTTTTCATGAATTCAGTAACTTTCAATTTATTTTTATTTCAAGGTTTAACTTAGTATTATGTTCCGAAATTCTACAGGCATTGCAGTGTATTATAACACTCGAGCTCGAACATAATAAAATATTACGAAGGTTTGCAAAGTTTTTTTTTCAAAAAACCTAATGGGATTTCTTAATCAATTCAACAATTCGATGAGGACAATCGAGAAAAAAAATAGCAACCCTGTACCAAGTGTTGTTATCAGTGCTGCCAACTTAGTGGATTTTCCACTAAAGCTGGTGAATTCGACCCTCCTTGTAGTGACGAAAGTTTGCTTTTAGTGGATAGTGGATTTTTCTAGTGGTTTATTAGTAATCGTAAGACTTTGGAGGATTTAAAATGTGATGTTAATAGGTGAACTGTGAGAACTGTTTTTATACTCAAACCTCAAGAAACTTTGATAGGAATTTAGGGATGGAGATTGGATTATTAATTGTAGAATATGGGATTATGATGATGGGGAGGGGAAGGTTCCGGAGTCGAGAAAGAAATCAATTATGACTTGGTGGGCTACGAATTCTAGAACGTAATCCAGGACGGTAACTATCATCCTATGACTGAAGTCATCACAACCCATTTCATTAGAACGGATAGACACAATGGTCTTTTGATGTCCCCAGAAGTCATCATCATCATCAATCATCAACAGCCTATAACAGTCCACTGCTGGACATAGGCCTCTCCTTAGAAAGGAGGTTTTGGCCTACTATACCACGCTGGCCAGACGGGTTGGTATAGGGTTTGTTTCAAGTTTTCCTTCTCTTTGCAGTGCTGTTGTCCTGCGTAGTTTGGTCCCTTAGTCGGCTCTTACGACACCCACGGGATGAATAGGGGTGGTGACATTACGTATTCTTATTCCGTCACCACACGGACCCCAGAAGTCACCGGAGAAAATTCAAAGATGACAGTATTGGGTCTGGGCAGCAAGGCAATACAGTTCAGGATTTATCTCTTGGTTTGATGATCCAGTTGAATAGCAAAAGAGAAATGAAAGATAATATTTATTCAAACCAATAATCGTTCGAAACTCGGTCTTTGTTGTCCAACGTGTTAAGGAGCTTCCAAAAACTGGAAGTATTGTACTTCAAAGAAGTCCAAAGGAACTCGAGGTTCGTATTATTAGCAACTTTTGCTATTACTCTCTTGATACTGCCTTATACCAACGCCATTTTAAAAGACTATTTAGAAGATTTAAGGTCATAAAAAAACAAGCAGGGGCAAAATAAATTTAATATTGTATCTGCCATGTTCACAAAATACTGCGGTTTGAGTTTGGTAGGAAAATGTAGCAATTAATTTGAAAGTCCAATAAAAATTCCAAAACAAATAGGTACCAGAAAATCGTTTCAATCCGAAAGCGATGATGAACTACTAACAATTTATTCATCTGTAGAAGACAAATTAATTTAAAATTAATACTAATACTACTATTAGTACTATTTAAAATAAGCGACAGTTGATTTACTATGTGTTTGTTGATTTATTGATTTTTAGTTATTAATAAAGGAAACAAATTATGAAAAAACTAATTATGAATTATTTTCTTTCATAATAACTAAAAAAGGTTTAGAGAACAATTTAGAGACAAATAAAGTTGGGCCGTTTTCGTTGGTGGTTTTAAACGTTGAATCTGTTGGAGAGTCAATTTAACTGTTGGCAACACTGATTGTCTTCATTTGAAATTGTACACAATGTCAATTTCAAATTTTAGATAGGAAACGTACTCTCAGCCAACGTTTAAGAAACATAAATAATTCAGAAACAAAATTATAAGTGCTTTTACCGACCTTTTAGGATACATAATGGATGCACTATTAAAACCTGTGATAGATAATTACTCTAAGTATTACATAGATAAGCAAAAGTCTCCAAGTTACGTTCAGATGTATACTAAAGATGCTAAAGAAATTATATTAGTTTATAACAAGGTAAACATAGAACTAATAGTATAGTGTATAACAATGTATAATTATAAGAGTCTTATTACATTAGTGTTGCTTTACAGGTAAAACAAAGCTCTAATATGACAGAAAATTTCGTGAAAAATAACAGGAATGAGACTGGTATGTGGCTCTTTTAATTCATCAGATTATCGATGTAACTTAATTGAAAAAGGAAAACCATATATATTATTTAAACCTATGACATCCTTAGTCTCTACTTTTTAATTATTTCTAGAAAACAGCGTTAATATAGGGTCACAACAAAACAAATTTGTAATTATATTTGTATTAACATTAAAGTGTGGTGACGGATTAAGAATACAGAGTGTCACCACCCCTATTCATCCCGTGGGTGTCGTAAGAGCCGACTAAGGGAAAAAACTAAGCAGGACAACAGCACTGCAGAGAGAAGGAAAACTTGACACAAACCCTTTACCAACCCGTCTGGCCAGCGTGGTATAGTAGGCCAAAACCTCCTTTCTCAGGAGAGGCTTATGTCCAGCAGTGGACTATTAAAGGCTGTAGATGATGATGATTAACAGTAAAGCAGCTCATCTGACATTGTAATAAATATTTTGGGCCTGTTGGTCTAGTGGTTAGTGACCCTGACTGCTAAACCGTAGGTTGTGGGTTCGATTCCCACCCTGGACAAATATTGTGTGATGAGCACGGTCATTTGTTCTGTGTCTGGGTGTAATTTATCTATAATATGTATGTATTTAAAATATATAAAAGTATATTTATCAGCAGTCCGGTTACCATAGCACAGGCTCTGCCTAGTTTGGGATTAGACGGCCGTGTGTGAGATGTGTAAGGTATATTATAAATCTCAATTGTTGCAAAAATATTTGTAAATATTTGACAGAGGAGCTGGAACTAACAGGATCTCCACTGAAGCTGGATTTAAGTTTGCATACAATATTAGATGATACAATGATATCAGATGAACCTCAACTGTACAGTAAAGAGGAAATCATGCATGGGCCTATCAGCATTGAAATTGCAAGGTACTTATTACGTTTTTCTTTCAATTTATTAATTTTGGGTGTGATGTTAGAATTAATTATATTTCCTAACTAGCTCTACTCGGCTATGCTTCACTGTGGAATCACTAAGATACAGCCGTTTATGCCGCAATAATGCATATTTCGACACTCAAGCAAATCATAGTTAAATGGGTACTTCTCGTTTACCTATAACTGAAATTTGGCATATAACATTGTCTTATACTACTACACACAAACACTCTCTCCACTACAAGTATAGAACTAAAAAAAATATCTGAAACTATGTTTGGAAATAAATCATAAAAATAAAGACTTTATTTAAAGTACGTAATCAATCCGTGAGGCACAATTTCTCTTATATAACTCAAGAATATAAGTAATTATAGGTTTTGGAAACTGAATTTCGGGGAACTGCGTGACTAGACTCCTGCACTATTTATAATATGTACCTAAAAATGGACACGGAACCCTCGGTGGGTGAGTCTGACTCACACTTGCCAGATATTTTTTTAAATGAAATTAATATTTACTCAACTCAATTTTTTCTGAACTTGTAGATAATGAATGATAACGAAATGAAGCTTTTATTTTATTATCATTTATAACCAAATACAACCCTTCCTCTGCTGTCCGCATCTAACGGCCTCCCGCGACCTTACCCAGGTCGTCGGAACACCTACGGTCGCCACTCGAAAACTTTTATAATAATAATAAATAATGTGAATAATATTACTGTTCTAGGAAAATAGCAAATCTCTACAACAAAAATCGTGACAAAGTATTACCAGAGGATGCAGTGCCGATGTGGATTTTGATCAATCCCATAGAAGTCAGCAAACCATTACTCCTAACTGTGCAGTCGGATCAGAACCATTTTGCAAGAGGTTTAGTCACGTATGTTGAAACTCTAAACTTGGATGATGTTGATTTGGATCAGCTGCTTGAGGATTATGCTAATCAGGAAGAACTAAGTGCAAATTTAGTAAGTTATGCTTTAAAAAAAACTTTGGAGCATGCTGTATATCGTGTCAAAATTTGAGTGTACAGAGTTTTTGAATAACTACACAAACCAACTTAACATTTTTATATACCTACATAGATTTTGCTTAAATTATTTTATTTTATTATATTTTGGGAGCTTACGGCTAAATTTACAAATACATTTGATCTTAATTATCTAGATGCCATTCACAAGCTTCCACATGTAGAAAGAAGACAGTGCTGGTATCTATAATAATACATACTAAATAGACTTACACATACATGGATAGTTACAACAATTAAGGATCTAAAGACGGTACATATATACCGTAATAGAAGGTAAAAAGTAGAAATGATCTTTGTTTCTTACAGTATGAATGTTTTATCTAGAAATTAAATTTCTGCTTGGCACGATATGCACTGATGTTAAGCAACTCTTTTGTTGCATTTCATTACGCGATTTGGGTTAACGGAGGATCACCCTTAATCCTACGAGGGACACTTAAGGGCTGGCAATGCACATGTCACACTAGAGTTGTATGTGTCTATAGATGGCGGTTAGTCATTTGCCATCAAGTTATCATTTACCATCACAATCCATCATGGTGGAGCTATGCATGAGGATGCAGTGACCGTTCTAAGTCAGCAACTCCTGAAATATCAGACGCACTGCTATGGATGTGTCTGCATTTTCGCTAACGATACGACGTAGCATCCATTCACAATTTAACACACCAGAGAAACCTTGTTTGTAGCTTAAATATCAATTACTCATAGAACGTGTTATTAACACAATTGTAAAATATCTTATTCCAGGTGAGCAGCATAGTGGACTGTATATACTTGATATCGGGCATATCATACGGCTCCCATTCTTCAGATGAACTCGTCAATGCCCCACACAATGGTCTCACAGAGCTGAAATGTGAATGGACTAACAAGACTTTACATACGCCATTTATAAGCTGTAAAGTTCATTTGGTGAGTATTATTGGTGAAGATTTGGATGAAATGCGGGATAGATATACACATTATGATGCACTATTCGATACACCCTAATTATAAAAAATAAAAAGTTATAAAAAGCCAAGCAATAATAATTCAGTCACACCTTTTTACTTAATAACAATTTACAATGTGTTATTTAACTAGCTGCATGGATCGCGTAGTAGTTTAAACCGTCACGTCGCCGCTTCCTACTGCACTGAGTGTTTTTCTCAGTAAAGTATTAAATATTCAATGTTGATGGTAATGTGATTATATCGTATTGTAACCGAAAATTGAATCGGTAATCTGCTAGTCTTAGTTATACTTTATTATTTGACTAAGAAAATACTTTTTATGACGGTTGTGAGATCAAAAGGTGATCAGAACTGAGTTGTGACCGTACTTTTATTACGAAAATTGGCCCTCTGAAGTCTGGGTGTTCTTTCAGTCCGTTTCCGTTGCCACATTTGTGCATGAAGTGTAAATAAAAGACATTGTTGTACGTATATACACAATATATATTTATAGGTATTATATAGTTATATTATCAATGTATTTCAACCCAAACTCAAGTCTCGTGTAAACTGGACAATGTATGTAGATACTTACATGTAGCTGTGTCAGTAAACGGTAACAGTGTCGTGAGTTCAATGGTTTTTTTTCCCATCTTAAAAAATACATTGTTTTGTGTGTTTTTCAAAAATATAGAAGTTTTCACTTCAAAAAAAAGTTTTTTGAAGAATCCGGGGATCCTACGTCACTAGGGTCATTTTAATTTCTGTGTGGTGACGGATTAAGAATACAAATTGTCACCACCCCAATTTATCCCGTGGGTGTCGTAAGAGCCGACTAAGGGAGCAAACTAAGCAGGACAACAGCACTGCAAAGAGAAGGAAAACTTGAAACAAACCCTATACCAACCCGTTTGGCCAGCGTGGTATAGTAGGCCAAAACCTCCTTTCTGAGGAGAGGCCTATGTCCAGCAGTGGACTAGTATAGGCTGTAGATGAGATGAGATGATGATGAGATGAGTCTCAATGTAGTTGTTACATTTTTACAGGAGCAAGAAGTTATTGTCGGCCACCTAGCAACTCCAACCAATGCTATTTGGAAGTCAGTATGTGCATTACACAATTTGAACCAGCTACTCGTCGACATGACGGCCGCAGGATACTCGTCTGTCAACTTAGAAACTGCTGTAGTTAGGTATACTTATATTACTTTATTATGTTTTAAATACTACTTTAAACGAAGGTATTAGACAGGTCATTGTGTCTATGTCAGTGTATAAATCGGTGTAGGTACTCATCTAATCACAAAAACCACCTCGTAACCTCCATGATAGAAGATATAGTAACACTATATAAAGCAAGACTTTATATTTTACGCTTTAAAGGTGACAACGATGTTCCACTCGACTTTTTCTTCTATTTTTCACATTGTAATTGAATTTTAAAACAAATTTTCTGCCACAAAGTTCCCACCAGAAAAAAAAGCAATTCAGCACCTTTTAAATTTGACCAAATCTATCAGTAGTCTTGCACTTAGCTATCCATATTAGACTAACAGCACACACACGCCATCCGTGCAGTCTGATAGTTGCACATGCAATAGTCGTCTAAACCTCGCCGCTTCTACTGCGCTGAGTGTTGTGGGTTCGATCCCCACATGGAAATCTCTTGTGTGATCCACGAATTAATGGTCTGAGTTTAGGTGTTCTTTGTGTCTGTTTCACGTATGTTTGTTGAGTTCCCCGCGACACAGGCTATATTCCTAGTAGGGAAGTTGTCGTTTAAGAATAAAGGTGTGATTCCGAACTCGGCAACAAGCAGCAGTGCTACCTGCCGCGCTAATTCCGAGCAAGGCGGCAGTGTCGCTCTGTTCGTGGTGATGCGTTGTTGTGTATTCGTTAGTTTACTTTGAGTTGACAAGATGTCGATTGATGACCAACTTTTATTTATACTGTTGGAAGAGGAAGAAGATGACGATGATTTGTTGTTGCTTTATGCCAATAGTAAAAGAAAAACACCAGATTCGTTTTATAAAAGCAGACAACGGGAAGGATGTTACAAGACGCTGATTAAAAACTATTTGATAGGCGATAAAGAAAAATTCAGAGAGTACTGTCGTTTAAATAAAAAACAGTTCAGTTTTATTCATAATTTAATTGCTGGCAAAATTAAAGCAAAAGTTTCTCGCAAGGAAGTTATCAACGCTGAAGAAAAAATATTCTTAACATTAAGGTGAGTTAAGTTTATAAAAACCCGTCTGGCCAGCGTGGCATAGTAGGCCAAAAACTCCTTCCTAAGGAGAGGCCTATGTCCAGCAGTGGACTAGTAAAGGCTGTTGATGATGATGATGAAGTTTATAAATTTAAAAGTCTTGGAGACTATCATCGGGCTCATGATTAGATGTTTCTCTTCTGAATCAGAGAAATTCATCCTTTTGTTGTCAATTTACTTGTCAACATTCACGTAGGTACTCTTGCTGCGGCGGCAGACGCGTCACTGACTGGTCTGTCGCGGCGGTAGGGCGACACTGACGCGCAACAGTGCTGCCGCTACATTGCTGCCGCGACATTGCTGCCTAGCTCGGAATGTAATCTCATATAAGCTTATAGAGATTGTATGGGGACCAGTAGTGCCGCGACAGCACTGCTGCGGCAGCACTGCTGCGTGCAGCGTAGTTCGGAATCATACCTTAAATAAATAATTTTGGTTCCTAGGCACAATGTCCCAGGTTCGAGGCAGCCGAACAACGAGAAGCGTATCAACGAACTCTTGAACGAGACAGAAACGTACGCATACACAGCGGAATGTCCCGCCGGCGGGTGTATCTGCATCTCTGAGGAGACCAGCCGGTTGGGGCAGTGTCTGAGTGAAATGAACGCTATGGGTTCTAGCAATGATTTTACGTATAAACTGTGGGACATATTGAGAGGTCAGTTTGTAGTGCACATATTATGTTAATGTTTAATAAGAAAACATGGTAAGGTGGTTAAATTAAAAAATAATAATGCAGGTAATTTTTAAAATACAACTTGTAAAATATAAATGTATCAAATGTTTAAAATGGACAGACATACAAAATATACCTCAATTGCTTACCATGACAATTTGAACAATACACAAAACATAAGAAACTATTTGTAAATTGAAAATTATGATATTTTTCAGATTGCGTCACAGCAGAAGAATTAGTAACATTATTGATACAAGCGCTCAAATTTATATCGTCAGGCAAAATACGACCATTTGTAAGTTGCAATAAGTCTTACATTATAAAAGCACTAATTTATAAGGGTCTACCAATAAGAACGTCCTGGTTTGAAAATTGAATAAAACACACATTTTTTTATGAAAAATGCATCCGATCGATTTATTTGATAGAAAATTTTATGCAATTTATGTTTTAAATAATATATCGGCCAAATGACCGCCGCGGCTCTTTTTGCAGACGGTCACCTGCTCACGCCAATTTTTCGATGACGCGGTGCACCATTTCGGCCGGTATGTCGGCTATGGGTCGTCGAATGTTGGTTTTTAAGACACGAATTGTAGCTGGATTATTGCTGTACACTTTAGATTTAACGTAACCCCAAAGAAAATAGTCTAAAGGTGTTAAATCCACACGATCTTGGTGGCCAACTGATCGGTCCATTTCTCAAAATTAACGACTCACCAAACTTTCACGCAATAATTCCATGTTCACTCGAGTGATGTGAGGTGGTGCACCGTCTTGTTGAATATAAAGGTCGTCTGCACCAATATCATCAAATTCCGGAAAGAAATATTCGGTTAACATCGAGTTATAGCGCTCGCCATTCACAGTAACAGGGTTTCCTTCGTCACTTTCAAAGAAATTTTGGACAATTTCCAAGCGTTGGTTTAAAATCAAACGTGACATGATAAAAGGCAAAACCTTACTGAACACAAATGTCAAGAGATGTCAAAGATCCATCATCAAACATGGCCGCTATGAGCAGTCAAAACCAGGTCATCCCTATTGGTAGACCCTGTATAAAAGTATATTTAGTACTTTCATTGATATAAATTAAACTAAAAGAGGGTAGGTATGTCATGTATTCATAGCAATCGAAATACCGCAAAAATTGAAACTAATAACGCAGAATAGTTTTAAAACAACAATAATATGCATAAGTGAAGGATTACTTACAATTCGCACACACTTACGGGAATAATACACACGTGTAAACCTCACCAAGTATTTTGCTGTATGTACATGTACATGTAGATTTACTGGAAAGAAGACCCCCTCAACCTTTGTGACTCGGATTCATACGGATCTGTATCACAAATAATATAATACTCGTAAGTTTCCTTCCTACTGTAAACTGCAATGATGAATAGTTCTATGCGAATTAAACTTTCTAGGTTCTAGGCGTCAACAGGCAGCTGACCATTAAGGAAATTAGCCAAATTCTTTTGCCATGTTACATATTGTGTCGACCCCAAAGATAATAATGGTTTATCATTGGAATTATTTTAACTTTGTCTCAGCTTTTAGATTTTTAGAGTTCTTTTTTTACTTCAATACTTAACCAAAAATTCTACAGCTGTTATTGAGTTATAAATACACCTTTTTACAGATAGACGCCAACAATAAAACATATCTGTCCAAATTAGTGTTAAAACTATCTCGAGGCCACTCCCAAGCGTCGAAGGTACTAAAAAACTTACGAGCCAGTCCTCCACAAGCATTGTCGTTGATAGCCCAAGTTGGAATTGAGAAGACTATGTGGGAATATACGAAGGTCATGTCTCTGTTAGAGCATTCGTTCTTCATTGCTGGTATTTGGACCAATGAAGCCAGGTAAAATTGAAGTTTTAATATTTTATGGGTAGGGTTTCTTTTAAAGATGGACTTTGTGAAAGAGGAAGTGACTGAAAAGGGAGTAAGCAGTTAAATGGCGAATGGTAGAGGATGTAATAAGAATACTCACTGCTCAGACCCCAAATAAATTTTGAAATAAAAGTAAGAAGAAGAGGGAGTAGTGTACTACCCAATAATATCTTGACCAATTCAAACTAAGAGAGCGTGAGTGGAACGATTCCTGACAGTCAAATGTTCGAACGTCAGGCCAACTAGGTTCATAGAGCACAAACTTGTTGATATTTTCTTCCAAAATCTAGCAGATTATTGAGGGGCTCGTAGTTAAGTAGTAACCGAGTAGGTTAGCACATTGCAAATTTAAACAATCCTGGCCAGGTCAGTCTATGGATGGGTGACCATTCTTAACACACTGAGATCCCTCCGTGCCTCGGAGGGTACGTTAAGCCGTCGGTCCTGGTTGCCATAAAATCATCTGTTCCAATCACTACGGGTAGTTGAAGCTCTAAAGGAGGTCTTTTTACAGAACTTCGATATCAACTGGGTTATGATGGTCTGATGGCAGTCGCTCCGCGTAAAAAATTAAAGTTCAGCCGTATCGTAGTAGACTTAAAGCCGACCCCAACCCGGTTTGGGAAAAAAGGGTCGGAGGGAAGGGTCTAGCGGATTGCAGATGCTGCTATAACCCGGCAATCTCGTGCGCGACCGTCCCGCGGGGTGACAGACAGTGGCGGGGGCGAGGTAGCGCGTCATTCTAACACACGGCTACACACGATTCCCTTCCCCGCTACACCACCCGCTACCCGCTGACATCTTGAGTACCTCGTCCCCGCCACCGTCTGTCACCCCGCAGGACGGTCGCGTACGAAGTTGACGGACTATAGTTCTCAATACATTATCTTTCAGAACGCACGAGTCAATAGAACAAATAAACCAAACTATCCAAGACATGACTATGAGCGGTGGGGACTTCACACTCAATCCGTTTGAGTCTCTCACAAGCGCCGAACACTCCATACGGTTAGACTGCGAGTCATTCTACGAAGAGGATTGCCATGAATTGACCGTTGATGATTTCGCTTCTCTGAAGAAACATGGGCTTGTTACTGAGAAGAAGGATGTTAATGAGGTATGTAGGGTATATTTTAAATAAAACAAACGTGCAGGCGAATTTCTGCCTTATAAAAATATAGGATAAGGATAACTTAACTTTAAAGTTACAAAAACGTAGAATTTAAGTTAGAAATGATATTGGTTAATTATAATGTTCCATAACATATAAGGTTTTTTCAACTTTAATCAACCTAAATTTCATTATCTTAGAGTAATCATGTATAACTCGTCAAAAAGAGTGAGTACAGAAACTGTAGTCTTTTTAAAGTAAAGGACATGGGAACCTTTGAAATGGGAAATAAAAATTTAAAATAAGTATAAAAGAAAACAACAGGACTGTTATGGTTGATGGTCATTCTCTAAGTAACATCGACCAATATTGTCTTTATAGGTTAGGTGTAATTTGTAAGAAAATTTAATGCATAGAGAAATATACAATTCGTCTTTTCAAAATAGCGAAGATTCCTAGACTAGGTGGGGCAACCACCTCACTACTAAATTAGATCCAACGACTTTTAATAAGTAAGCAAATTTTCACTGCGCGTTGCAGGAATAATAGTTATTAAGTAGTTCAGCTCGTTTTCGTTAGATGGCGGGGCAATATGTTTTAAAATTTATGTTTTTTATTCGTGTCCGTTAATTTCCACTACGTATTTTGATTCAAGGTGCCGTTAATAAACGATGAGATTGACATAAGCCCGTGGAAAAACCTGCTGATGAAATTCGCACAAGTACATGTATGCCTGGAGCATTTGTATCGCGCTGAAAATTGTTTAAGGCTTGATTTTGGTATGTACTCTAGCGATTTAGGAATATCTTTGTTTTAAACAATTCCAATTTAGCAAAGAAGCTTTAATTTTTCTTGATGTTAGGTGGTCAGTAGATGGTTAGTATGGTTTACAATCCTCCTCACAAATACTTGTTTCAGTGTAAGATTTCATCAGTTATTACTTTTAAGTCATTCAATATAGTGTCAAACATAATGATACAATCTTAAAAAAAACACTACACTACTTTTATACTCAGATACTTTACTCTTCTTAATCCAAATCTCATTTTTTCAGCCAGCCTTAAGCCAATAGTGTCTCGATTGTTAGAACATTACGTGTCGGAGAAATCGCCTATACGAACAGTAGGACAATTGATGAGCGATCCTCTACAAAAGATCAGCATGCCTATTGCTAACAACATAGTGCAGGATCATTTGAAGTGAGTATTGAGTTATCACAAATATTTGAATTAAGTTCAATATTTGTGATAGTGAGTGTCGTGTGAAGTCAGTTTTAGATAAATCATCAAAAATAGAATTAAGTTAAGAGGTCACAAGTTGGTATCGTAAACCATTTGCTTTCAATAAAGTTTGATTTGAAAGTTAAAAAGAAACTTGTGAATATATTTTAAAAATGGTATTAGGGACTGGGGGAGCAGGCTGGTCAAGTATAAGTGACAGCAGTCACTCACCCCCCCTCCCCCTCCATAGTATCAAGGTGAGGGGAGTTTGGGCTTCAGTAACCTTACTCACTCAGTGTAAAATAACCAAAGAAACGTTTTTCTGTGAGGCTGTTTATTTTTAATTTATTGTATTATTACTTTTAGTCTATTAGGATATACAGTGCCTCACAAAACAACTTTCGCTGTTTATCTGTGTTAACAAAAATTCCCGTTAATTCCCGTTAAATAATATTAATTATCATGGAACGCGAAAGTTTAAAAGTTAGTATGTATATCTAGGTTACATTCTTACACGGTATCTAAAAGGAACTATTTAAGCAATTTAGAGAATTTATTTTGGCTCATTCCTAATGCTTGCTGGTATGGGTGGTATCATCCCTATTGAACCGCGCCCATATTTGCCGAATTCATTTAAAACTAAAACTTTTGGATGAAAATCGCCCGCTGCGCTTTATATTGTTGTCATTACATACATTTTAACTTCTCGTGGTAAAAAATACTTCATAAACTACAAATAATGTAAAACTACAATAAAGTATTATTTTTAAGTGTTTCAGTATTTATTTTCAAGATAACTTATTGTAATATATATTAATATTTTAACAGGAAACCCGCTTACTGGTATCGCGTGGAGATGACCAGGACAGAGAAGGCAGCTGATAAAGGTATTCAGAGGGATTCTAGAATGGTCTACGTTTTCTCTCAACAACCAGTGCTCCCGCCATCTGTTTGGCAAAATATAGGTACTTTAATATTTGATGATATTATTTTTACTTGTAATAACTTTGTTTGCCACTATCGCACAATATCGTTCGCCTTTGTATATTGTTATAAAAATATTGTAATTTAAGAAGAGAAAATATGACCTTGCCCTTGACATTGACCTTGTGTCTGGTTAATCCACTTATAAAGTACAATACCAAAGCATCGTATTTCCTCGTTATCCGCCAAATTTCGGCAATATTTATATATTTATTTACTTATTAATAAATACATTAATTTTATTATTTCAGACCCTCCGACAGAAGAAATTGGTGATATTGCAGAAGTGACAACAATGGGTGAAGAATTAAAATATCACGTCACAAAGTATACATTCGTTAGGAATAAGCTGTTAAACAGGCTGCCATTTTAATGTATTGTATAAATATATATGTACGTAAAAGTAATGTAAAATAAAAAAGTGCCTTTATATCGTTGTACAGGAAATATAAGCTATAAATACATAAGCATAAGATACATTGTTGTTGAATTTTTATTCATAATCCCTATATTTTGTACACACTTGTATATTTATGCCGGGATTGACAAATGCGGCCTATGAAAACACAGGATGTCCCACTGCGAGTCACTTTTTTGCTTTCATATTATTTCGAAAGCAACAAATTGACTCTGCAATATAATATAGGTAGTACCTTTCCAAAAAGAGAAGGCAGCATCGGACTGTTTATAATTAGTTGCTGCTAAATGCTATTCCGATAAAATGTAGTTCAGAAACTTAACTTCAGCGTGGCGTCAACCCGTATGAGAGGGTTCCGTGATGCCTCTCGAGCCAATCCTCCATAAGGTGTCTTACCGCCGCAAAAACGGCCTGCCCCACCCCCGTTGCCCAAGTCGTTCCTTGCACTCCTCTACGAGGACCTGGCAGAGTTGCGATTACTGGTCCTTGATTTCTCGAGTCTCAGGACTCCGACCCAACTCCCTCCCCTCCTTGCGCCACTGATACAGAGACGCAAGGACTCTCGCCTCCAGGTCCCACGGTGGAATTCCAGAAGACTCGCCGCCTCAAAGGATATGACCTTACGACCTGCGAGCAAGTTTGTAACCTGTGTTTATTAGTAAAAATTTTATAATAGCAAGTTGGCATAGCATCTCGCACAGGGCTGTCTGATCCTAAATTAGACAGTGCCTTTACTACGTTAACTAAAGTAGACTACACGAATAGCGTAGTGGTTTAAGCGGTCACCTTGCCGCTTCCTACTGACAACACGCGTGATCACAAATTGTTGTTCTGATTCTGGGTATTCTTTGTGTCCGTTTCATACATGTGTACACTAAGAAACCCCTACACTAAGAAAGGATTTTTGAAAATTTGAACCCTGGGTAAACAGTGAAACCCGGCAACGCGTTTGTCACTCCTGAGTTGCAGACGTTCATAGGCGGCGATGGCCACTTTCCATCAGGTGACCCGTCTGCTCGTCTGCCTCCTATAACAAAAAAAAGTTGTTTAAAAGTTCTTCATCTTCAAAGTTAAAAACAGGAACTAAGAAATCACGCGAACGAAGCCACGGGAAATAGGTAGCACAGTGTATAAGTATTACGTGTGTAGTGTGCGCATGTAGACGTAGTCGTGACGTCACTAGGACAATGACGTCAAGTGACATAATAAGCAATTGTTTAATATTTTCATAACATCAAATAATTTGTTTTAGGTATAATAAGTTATATTCATAGAAACATACATTCGTAACACCAAATGTGTATGCAGTACACTAACACGTCATTAGATACACATCTTTCTTCGACACGATTCGTATAAATCAAAGATCAGAAGAAAAAAAATAAACCGAGTAACGAGGGTATTTAAATAAATAAATATACAGAAGCGTTATCTTTGATGTCGAGTTAATAAAACGTACATATTGGATCGTGCTTTCGACATGATTGAAGAAAGCCCGCCTACGGTCGTGGTAGTCAACAATTTATAGCTATGCGAATGCTTTCTGAGTTTCTGAGAATGTAGGTGTTAATGTTTATGCTTATTGTAGTCTTATTCATTAAGTGATACACCTCGTCGGCTCCATTACTGATCGTCATAGTATATTCAGTCTCCAAATACGCTTTACAATACCTTACCAGTCACACCGTAGCGTAGGTGTTCTTTTAACTATGTAAAATTTGTAATTAGGAAGTTTTTCTGTAGTTAATATATTATAAATAATGCTAGCAATATGTTTTTCCATTTTTTTTTGTAATATACTTACATAGAAACATGTTTATCAGTTGTCTGATATAGTATTGGCACTGCCTTGCTTGCGACGAGTCGCCGCGTGGGAGTAATCTCAATTTATTATATTAATAATATTACAGATGTTTTTGCTCTATTAGCAAATATGTAGGGATAGGAAAATGAATAAAATAGTACTACAAATCTAAGCGTTCATAACTTCGCCCAGCGTTAATAGATAACTACCTACACTCCTTCCTTTTGGTAAATATGGATTACTAACGCGATATTGAAAATATTAAACACTTTCGGAGAGAAGATGAGTAATATAGCTCAAAGTGCGACTACTTCTCGCTAAAAGTCGCCAATACTATGTCTCCTAATACATAAGCAACCAAAACACTACATAGGACAGTGTTGTATTTAATTAAAATCTAGGTACTTATTTAAATAAAAAGTATGGCTTCATTGAACTTCATTACTTATTCAAAGCACAACACGTAGGTATGTAAATTATATCAGTCAGAAAAATAAGACAAATAACATTTTTTTTTATAAAATTCACAGTGTTTTGTATTGGCTGCAACTATATTATTTTTGTGTTCAGACTTTGTATGTAAGAGCATTTATTTATTATATGATTAAGTATCAAGAGCGCCCTAGGCAAGCATCTCATCGGATCCCCCCGTATCTCTCTATTGTCTATACCTACTCTATTAAAATAGCTACTAGATGATGTTACTAAATGTGTGATGTTGATAACTTGACATTATGGTTGTCATTTCTTTACTACAACTTTTTTTTACGTGTGAAAACCCCCATGCGCTGTCACCTCACCGGGGTTTGCTGTGGGGCGGTGTATTGGATTCGAACCGACTACAACCACACAGTGTGTAAACTGCGCCTGAAATAAAAGGGATCCGATAAAAGCTTTTATTAAGACGTCCGGACCTTTCATTTTTTCGGGACAGATGGAATCACCTGTCACCCCCAGGACTCCACTTATGAAGGACGGAGGTCATTCCGCCACCTCCGGCACCTGAGCCGCCGGCAGTATCAAGCCCGTTTCGAGTTCTAAGCATTTTCAGGTCCAGCGCCGCTCTCTCTTTCTCGAAAATATCTTGCTCGCAGAAGGAGGTGGTAGAGTTCCATACGCTCTCGCTCCGTACTATGGCTGCAAACATGGTAACGAGCTAGAGAATCCTCACTGTCCCGTGTTTCTCTCGAGTCAATCCTCCATAAAGGGTCTTACCGCGCTATTATGGCGTGCCCAGCGCTTGGTTGCCCAAGTCTTTCCCTCCACTCCTCCACGAGAACCCGGCAGAGTTGGAATTTCTGGTCCTCAATTTCTCGAGTACCATAATCCGGACTCATTAAGAGCCCGAGATACCTCATTGAGCCCTCGATGAAGTATCTACTCGATCTCGATCTGATGCTCGATCGATCTATGTGAGTGCCTCCTACTATGAGGCTGGCATCCCGGTTGACCGACGACGAGGGGATTAACACCGACCCCTGAGACCGGTCCTAGTCCTCCTAGCAAATGCCCTTCAAAAACGCGGGCAACAACTTCGGGAAAAACTCTTACTTAGAAAAGGTCCGTCACACGAGGAAGTCACCTCCTCGCGGCCTTCGTGGCGAGTGAAGGGGAAAATCCGTCACCTGAGACCACACTAAGTGCGGCATGAGGTGCTTGAAGGCGCGCCAGCCGTGGAGCGTATAAGGGCTGGTAGCAAAAATTCCTCTCCGATGACTGCAATGAGCACCCGACGATACGTTGACCAGTGTGTGCTGAGCCGTGTTTTCACTGCAGTGGACTGCTGGTTTTTCCTTAAGCAGACGTCCACAAAGGACCTACGTGTCGGTCGGAAAGAAAGGGTCCCGTACCTGTCACGACTATACGCTAAGGTTTTGACGCTGCCCAGCAGGGTTTTAATACTGTTACGAAATGGTTACAAAATAATATTCTAACCCTAAATATAAACAATACAAAATATATTTGCTTCAGCATAAGAAGTAATTCCGGGCTTAACCGAAGAAATAATATTATCTCACACGAGTGTTCCTTGGGACTTGAGTGTAACTGTTCATCGCTTGGGCGTGTAAATTTGATAAAGTACTTGGGTGTTATAATAGACAGTAATCTAAACTTTAAAGAGCACATCAAACACTTGTGCGCCAAAACACGTAAACTCATTTATTTTATGTCTTTAAGAACTTGAGATCAGTAGTAAAACCGCTGTTGATGAAGCGAATGTATTATGCGCTATGTCAGTCGCTCCTAACATATTGTATTACCTCATTGGGAGGCACATATAAAACCGTAATGTAGTCCGTTGAAGTTGCCCAGAGAGCAGTACTCAAGTTTGCAATATTAAACCTATATTCTATCCCACTGCGGCAGTTTATCAACTGTGCGAAGTTCTAACCGTAAGACAATTGTATATTTTGAAGATTATAATGCTACAACACAATAAAATGACCTATAATCCACAGTTGTTAAAGAAACGTAGAAAATATATGGTGTGTGAATCTCCGTTGGGGTGCAAAACTAAATTTAGCAGACATTTTTCTAACTTTAAGGGTCCCCATTTATATAACAAAATGAATAAAGTTCTCAATATTTATCCACAAACGGGTATACAGTGCAAAAAAGAGTTGATTAAATACCTACAAAAATTAGACTTTAAAGAGACTGAAAAACTCATGAACAGTATTCAATAATAGTTACAAACATACATACATACATACACACAAACACACTTACACACACACACAAGCACACGCACGCTAAAGAACACGTTGTACTCAGGCACATGCACAGACTGGATTGATTTTTATATTACGTAGTATACATACAATATATAATAGTAAGGCTTAAGGTATTGTACATTGGGGAGTTGGCGCTGATAGTCGAAATACAGGCATCGCCTAGTTCGACTACAGATGCTTGATTCTTTTAATTTTAAGACATATTGATATGGCTGTTTAAAGATGTAACCTGTAAGTTTGTGTGTGTAATATATAAATAAATAAAAAATAAATAAATACGATGTCCGGCTGGAGCGCCTCTACGGCCCAAAGCCAGTACGTGGACTCTCCATCCGGGACGACCAATGAGTCTCTCACTCTCTAAGGGTGCTAGAGGCGCACCTTATTCTGTGCGGTCAGAGCTTCCGCCTACACCG